AAGGTAGTTTCTTTCAATATAAATGGTATAAATAATCCGATTAAGAGATGGAGAGTCCTATCCAAACTCCGGAAAGATAAAGTTCAGATAGCGATGCTGCAGGAAACTCACCTAGATGATTCTGAACATGCCAAACTGAACAAGATGTGGTTTAAATCTGTCTATTTTTCTTCCCACAGCACCGGAAAACAAAGAGGGGTTGCAATTTTAATATCAAGCTCTTTGTGCTATGAACATGTTGCAGAACATAAAGACAGGGAGGGTCGTTATATTTTAATTACAGGAATAATAGATGGCATCTTGATAAGTCTTCTTAATGTCTACGCCCCACCTGGTAGTGACTGGTCCTTTTATAAGAAAATACTTGAATTAGCGGCAACAAAGAGTCAGGGTGTGGTAATTTGTGCTGGGGACCTTAACACTAGGTTAAACCCAAATTTGGACTCATCAAATGGGAAAACAAACTCAAAACATATCAGTAAAAGAATGAAAAATATGCTGGATGAACTGGGATTAGTGGATGTATGGAGGGATAAGAACCCAAACTAGTCGTGACTACACATTATTCCTCTACTCACAATGTATTGTTAAGAATTAAAAAGAGGAATAACTTGATTTAGCTCGTTAATTTATTCCTCTGTCCTAGATTCTTGTGTCTATGTACATGTGGAGGGAGAAAGGAGCAATCATACGAAGTCAGACTTCAGATATCCAGTTTTATCCAGAGAAAATCAATGCAAGAAGAATGTTACAATAAGCATCTCACCTAGATTATCAAAAGTCCAAGACATGACAAAACAGAAACAATGAACTGAGTAAAAAGGGAAACAGAAACAGAAACAAACAAAAGATGCATCTTCTGGGAAACTCTCACTCAGCACAAAGAGATTCGAACTTCTGCTGTGAACAAACCATTTTCTACGAATGTGTATTCTCCTCATTTAAATATATGCATTAGGAGGTGTGTTTTTTCCTTTGTGTGGGCTGTCTCAATGTTAATTTTATTACCTCTGAGACCCACTGAAAAACACAGCTCTTCTCCTACCAGCCTTCTTAGGCGATCTGATTTATAGCGTGGGTCTGGAACATTATCTCTGCCTCAAAATGCTTCAACAAGTAACCAGTTGGTGTTTTTAACCAAGCTTGCACAAATGTAATGCTAAATAATGACTATAAGTTTGGATCTAAGAAGTAACTAATTCAAACAGCTTAAAGAAATATATTTAAGTCTAATATAGATAAAATTATTTATAAAAAGTTTTAAGATCCTAGTGAACCTTTGAACCATGCTAAGGAATTTGTTAATTGCCTGGCAGACAGACTCTCTGTGTAAAGAGATTCTAGGCCTGTCTTTTCTGTAGAATCCTCCCTAAGAATATAAGTTCAGAAAGTCAGCAGTTGTTTTAGTTTGGATCTTTATCTAATTTATGTGAACATAGAGTGTACTTTAACTTTCTATGGTATATTTCATATCTATCAAAACTATCCTGTGCGGTATTGTGCTAATTTAAAATATTATTTCAACAGTATACTCACGAATAGATTATTCTTCATGTTTAAAATGTGCATAGATTAAAAAGTTGGGAAATCGGATCTAATCCCATTTCAGATCACAGTCCAATCTATATCTCCCTTCAACTGGCTGAAAAGAGCAGATCTACGCTCTGGAGGCTGAATACAAATTTACTAAATAGTACAATCTTTAAGGATAATATGAACTGAAATCAAACAACATTTGGAAGAGAACGATAATAACGAGGTGGGTCCAGCGATACTTTGGGATGCACTAAAGGCGGTAGTCCGGGGAAATAGCTTTTTCATCCAATGAAAAGAAAATTAGACAACAAAAACAAGTTCAATTGGAATTGGAACTAAAACTCCAGAAAGAACACTCCAAAAGAGGGCAACAAGATCTAAAATTGAATTGGTGAAAAAGAACTGAACAATTTAAACATGCAAGAAACAAAAGAAGCTTCTCTTCACTAAACAGAAATATTATGAAGCAGGGGCAAAATCTCAAAAGGTCCTAGCATTCAAATTACGAAAACAACAAGCTGATAGAACTATCCAAAATAAAAAATATCTATACAAATAGGGTTGAAACAAACGTAGAAAGATCCATAAATGCTTTGGAGATTTTTTTCCAAACTCTATACTCTCAACCCAAACTAGACTAGACCCACTCAACCCCCACTCACTCTTTTGTTATGTATGTTATGTTATTATATAAAAAAAACCTGGATTGGCTTAGTTATTTCTTTGCATATCCCCATTGTGATGGAAGCTAGATTGTATATGTAATTTTATCCCGCCTTTCCAAATAAAAAATTTATATCTAAAAAAGTTGCAGGAGACCCTGGAGGCCTGGAGTTGCCCACACCTGACCCAGGAAGTGGACTGAAGTTTAACTACTTAGGCTGGTCGATGCATCTGATGTCCTGTTGCCCTCAACCTCATTGGATCCTGTTTGTGGTTGAAATGATCTTTAACAGACTGAGGAAAAACGATCAAAAACCAGAGAGAATATATCAATTCTTTGTCAATATTTATTTGAAGGCTTTACAGCATTTGGAGTCTCTGCTCACTGAACACAGTCAGGAGAAAGAGCCTCGAGCAAAACACAGCAAACTGTTTGATAGGAAAGGTTTCATTCCATCCTCACAGTTTAACAATCTACTGAGCTACAAAACAGACTGCAAGCAACGCATTTTCTTTCATAAAGCATATTAAACATTTAAGGATGTCATAAGAATGCAAAAAAGAAAATATTCTACAACTTTATAATACACAGTTCAGAGAAACAGCTAAAGAAGATTCAGTTTTCCAGCCTTTCATTCCAAATATCTCAAATTGTTTATGACTAGACGTTTTAGCAATTTAAGAAATCTCTAATTATATTTTGACTAGAAGAAATTATGTCAGATTTACCTTTGAGATGTATGGAGACTTCAATTCAAGATATTTACAATGAATTACTGACTATCTGAAATACACATTTCAGATCTCTACAATTTAATTATGACTAGTCAGAAAGTAAATTCAAGATATCTGGATTGTAGTTTTGACTAGTCATAATTCAAATCAAAGATATCTCTATTTAGTCCATAATTCAAGATATCTTAAATGTATTTTTGGATAGGAGAATGTCGTTTTGACTAGAGGAAATTATAGATATCTTAAAAGTAAATAAATTAGAGAAATCTAGAATTATTCAACTTTTCTATTTAAATATCTTAAATGAACATTCTGTCTAGTCAAAATGTCACTGATTTACGTGGAAATTCGAAAGTTTAATGAAACAATAAAAAACACAAAAAATGAAAAAGATGTTTGAAAATGGATTGACAGCAATTTAGCTTTTCAAAGCTGTTTTTAAGTGAATTTGGTTCGTCGGAAATAAATGCACAGGATTTTTTTACAGATATCATTAGCAGTCTTATAGTTTATGAAGTTTTATGTTCTCCACATTTCCAACATTGCTGAGCTTTTTCTAATTTGTGGCATTTATGGACAATTTTGTGCAGGAAATATAAAATAATGCAGGCAACTGTTTGGACACCACAAAGGGTCTTTTCCGTCATTCTTAATTCAGATATCTGAAATCGTAATTCCGGATTCATGTCTCATCAAATTACAGATCCACTGACGCAATTTGAGATATCTTGAAATGAATTTTGATCAGTCAGAATGTAATTAAAGATATCTTGAATTATTATTCTCTCCAGTCAGAATGTAAATGCAGATATCTAGAATTATTATTCCGGATAGTCAAAATGCATTTTTAGATATCTAGAACTTAATTACGGATAGTCAGACGAAACCAAATTTATGTTAAAACGGCTTGCCATAGCTTCATAACCCCAACCAAGACAAGGACAAGCTGGATTCAGGGCCTGAATGGAAATGGGCTGCCTAACCTTTGACCCCAAACATCCTATCATATGCTATCCTTGCAAGGTTGATGATCAGATTTTGATCAAGTGGGTTTTCTATTATATTTTGTTTGGTGGATGTTTTCTTTTCCCTTCTTATATAAGTTTTACTTCTGTAGGTTTAGTCCAGATACAAATTTCTGAATGTTGAACTTCCTTCCTGCTGCAGGAGCTCAGAGACATTTTATCATAGATACATAGACGGACAGATTCCCAGGAGTCTGAAACGTGTCTCTGCTCCTTCCTGTGGATGTGAAACCAAGATGATTTTCCCTGGTTCCTTCAGACTGCAGCCTCCTCCTCTAATCCGCCTTCAGCTCTGGATCCTTCATCAAGAACGTTCATCATGATGTTTTCTGGTCCAGACTTCTGGTTTCTCCTGGCCTGGAAACAGGATGGTTCAGCTGCAAGGCAACAACTTTCCCAACTGAACACATCATGCATGATACATGCAGTACCTTATAGTTGAGGAGCAGGACGGATCCCAGCATTCCCATTCCCAGCAGGACGACAACCAGTCTGATGATCAAAGCAGTGAGATGGGCTGAAAATGAATGAAACAGATTCAGGATCAGCTTTCATCAGATGAGTCCAGCTAGAAATGAACAATAATCACATAGACCCTGGTTTTCATGCTGCCTGTAGATCATGAACATTAATATAATCAATCCTCCTCTGACCTCATGAATGAGGCAGACAGCTGCTGGTTCACCTGAAGCAGAACTTCTCCTGATGGACTCCATGAGTTTACCTGAGACAGTGAGGTTGAGAGGCTGGCTCATAGACCAGAAGTTATGGGAGAAAACGTAGACGTGGTAAAGGCAGCGGTAGGTTCCTTGGTGGGCGTGGCCAGCAGCAGCGAACAGGAAGAGGGCGGAGTGATTAACAGCTGGCAGGGTCTGGTTCTGAGTGTAGTTAGAGGTGCTGAAGATGAGCTGGAAGGAGCCGCCTGCATACTGAGGCCTGATGGAGCACATGATGCTGAACTCTGAGCCAATGAGGAGCTCAGACCCCTGCTTTCTGCCTGTGGAGACCCCGTCAGTGGAGGAAGAGAGGAAGATGAGCGGCTCAACCAGCAGACCTGGCAACGCAGAGGAAACACAGAGACAACTGGATCTGATCTGAGGTGGAAAACAAGATGGCTGATCATAGACTGGTTACCATGGTTACTAGCATGTTTCTACATGATTACTAACAACTTTATGATTCAGTAAAGTCAGTAATATTTAAACCAGTTTTAGTTTCTAAACATCTGGAACCTGATGGAAGAAACATTTTAAAATATATGAATATGAGTTCAGATTTACCTGAGCAGATGATCTCATGGCTCTGATCATTGGTTTTATTATCAGGTAAACAGTTTTTTAATGCAGATCCTGACTGAGAACAGTAAGACCCGATCAACCAAACTGGTCTCTCTGAAGCCTCCTCCATAATTCTTGCTGAAACAGCAGAACCACAGTCCAGTTCAGCACAAACTGCAGCAACTGAGTTCATGTTCCAGTAAGGATCCCAAACATATACTGGTCTCCATTCTTTATGGAACATCTCCAGTTTCCCGGCACATCGACTGGCCTCTCCCACCAACCTGATGTTGTCTTGATCTGAGCAGAGACAGAGAGTTGATTTAATGAAGGAAGTGAAGCAGTGAACAGCAGCAGGTCTGCAGATCCTCCTCTACCTGAACAGGTGAGTCCAACAGCTTGACCAGGTGAGCAGCTGTTTCTACCTGAACTCTCCCTGCTGCTGCAGTTCAGCAGAGCAGACTCACTGCCTTCACACAGGAACTCTCTGCTCCCCACTGGAGCCTCTGCTTCTCCATAGACGCCCCCTGGAGGACTGAAGGAGGCCCACAGCCAATCTCCCTGCAGACCACCTGTGCATCCTGCAGGTCAAAGTCTTTTTCACACACTGAGGACCACGACTGGTTGGTCTTCACCTCCAGTCTGCCTGAGCACTGGTTGGTCCCTGGAACCAGCCTGACTGAATCTGTGGATGCAGAAAGAAAAAAGCTTTAAAATATTTCAGAACTTTATTTTTCTAGATACTCATGGAAACATCTCTGAGTTTGATGAAAATAAAGGTCAAGAAAACAAAGTGAAGTGAAACCGACTGTACCTGCAAGTTTATCATTCATTATTATTTCTGCTGAATTTATCACATTTTGGGCCTTAACATGATCATAAACTCACTAAATGTCTAACAAACTTTAATCTCTGAAAATGTGAATATTTAAGTGGAATTAAAAATAAATGTGGCAATATGGCTGAACAGCGCCCCCTAGTTCAGCCGGCCAACAACCATAACAAACAAGGTTTTCCTGCTATTTCCACTAAAAACAGGAAGTCCACCATTTTGGATCAAAGTCATTTCCTGTCGATTTTCAGGTTTTAAACATGTTTGATTTCCTTGAACTCCTGGGATTTTGATGCATCGACTTCAAAGCAGCAGAGATTAAAAGTTATCAAAATGATGAGTTTTTGTTCATCTATTGGAATAAACTGAGAACTTTATCTGGATATTTAAATGATTTTAGTTTCCCTCAAGGCTTCAGGTTCTTAGTTAAAGGTGACGGTTTCTCTGCAGACGTCTGGAACCTGATGGAAGAAACATTTTAGATATATATGATTTTTACCTGAGCAGATGATCTCACGGCTCTGAATACTGGTTACATCATCAGGTAAACAGTTTTTTAATGCAGATCCTGACTGAGAACAGTAAGACCTGATCCACCAAACTGATCTCTCTGAAGCTTCATTTGATTTTCTTGCTGAAACAGCAGAACCACAGTCCAGTTCAGCACAAACTGCAGCAACTGAGTTCATGGTCCAGTAAAGTTCCCAAACATATACTGGTCTCCACTCTTGATGGAACATCTCTAGTCTCCCGGCACATCGACTGGCCTCTCCCACCAACCTGATGTTGTCTTGATGTGAGCAGAGACAGAGAGTTGATTAATGAAGGAAGTGAAGCAGTGAACAGCAGCAGGTCTGCAGATCCTCCTCTACCTGAACAGGTGAGTCCAACAGCTTGACCAGGTGAGCAGCTGTTTCTACCTGAACTCTTCCTGCTGCTGCAGTTTCAGCAGAGCAGACTCACTGCCTTCACACAGGAACTCTCTGCTCCCCACTGGAGCCTCTGCTTCTCCATAGAGCGCCCCCTGGAGGACTGAAGGAGGCCCACAGCCAATCTCCCTGCAGACCACCCTGTGCATCCTGCAGGTCAAAGTCTTTTTCACACACTGAGGACCACGACTGGTTGGTCTTCACCTCCAGTCTGCCTGAGCACCGGTTGGTCCCTGGAACCAGCCTGACTGAATCTGTGGATGCAGAAAGAAAAAAGTTTCTTCAATATTTTCACTGAATTTGGTTCCAGTTTGTTCAGCAAAGCTACAATCCAGTTCAGACTCTGTGCAGGAACAACCAACTAGTGGAGAACAGGCGGAGAGGGGGGCTGGGAAGAGTTTATTATTTTTATATCTCATGTTTTAATATTCTTTGCACTTTTAGCATCTGCCTTTACTGCAGGCCTGGAGATGAATGGAAAAAACTGAAGACAGAGAGAAAATTACACTAGAACAGCACAAAGAACCTATGAATGATCAATTATTAATATTTTATCATTGTTTTCTACAAAGCAAATGACAGATTTAATGACAGAATCATAGAAAACTATCATATTAACTCTCTGAACTTAATTTGTGGAGGAAGTGCAACATTTGATCAGCTTCTTCTCAGTGACATTGAGGTTTTTATAGCCCTGAATCTGCTCCACTGGTTCCCCTTTAATCTAATCAAACTTCATTCAGTCACTAACCTGGTAAAAACCAGCCGCTCTGTTCCACACTTTGGTTCATCCAGAGAGTCTGGACTGTGTTGAGGTTTTAAATTTCACCCAGTGTCTAATGGTTGTCCATGACATGCAATGGACCAGATCCACACTAAGTTTACTGGAAGTTTCCTGGGCTGCAAACATGTTGAGGGAAAAATCAATTACCAAGCAGTGATATATAAAATCACTCAATCAGGTTTATTGGCACATTGTGCTCAATACAGAGAGCAGATCAGACGATCTATAGTGAAACATTTCCCATTGAAAACTCCCAGGCAGAGACAACAGGAGTTTTATACCAAGGCTGGTTCTCATGCAGCTGCAGGAAAACATCTCCCAACCTTGTGCTTGCAAACCAAACAGCTTCATTTGGTGAGAGTTCACTGGCATTTAGGATGAAGACAATACAACCAGCAGATATTACCTTACTATAATTTGTCCACCACAAAACAGAGAAGAGCCCAATGAGGCGACTGTTGATGTTCATTCAATATTTGAAAGTGTGACCAACATGGACTGAACTTCCTCCACTGCCACTGATTAAACTACAGACAGACTGTGTTTCTACAATAACAGCAAATCAAGGTCATCATTCAAACTTCTTCTGTTCACTGATTGGTCCAGTAGAAAATCTACCAGAGGGAATCCAGGTGAAGGGGAAGAAGCCCAGACTGAGCTGGAAGTGAGAATATTTTTAAAGAGGAGTTGGAAGCAGAACAGGAAGACACTGGCCAGGATATGAATCACCTGAACAGACGATCTCTACATTGTAGCTCTCATCTCTTCGTAACGACACCACAGATCCACAGTGGAGCTGTCTGCAAATCCAGCTGCTGATGTAAAGTTCCCGTTATAGTCCCAATACTTCACTGGTTCCCAGTCTTCCAGTTCCTTCTTCTCCAGTCTGCCAACACAGCGACTCCTTCCTGCTACCAGTCTGAGTTCATCAGCCAGCGCTGGGAAGAAACAACATTTACATGTTGGGTTAGAAAAAGCAAAGACAGATTGATTTAGGATGTGATGACAGGATCCTGTTGATGGTGTTTATTTTATCTTCTCTTAGAGGCAGAGCTGTCATGGATGGTTCTGATCAAAGCACCTTTATGTAGGAGTGGCCTAGTTAAAGCCCAGACTGAAATGTTATGTACGCTGTAGTAAGACCTGAAATGTTTCTCATTATTCTCCTTTTCTACCCATTTATACTTGATGTCTTTACTGAGACCAACCAAAGTCAAATTAACTGTTTTTGTGTAAAGTCCATAAATGAGCTCTGATGCTAACTCTATGCAAAATCCCATCATATCTGGAAAAACATCTCTATTGACTTTAATGGGTTTTTATCTGTTATATTCATTGATTCTGACAGTTAAATAATTGTGGAGATTTCAACACCATGTTGACGAGCCTGAAGACAGAGGGGATTAAAAGCTGTGATATTGTTGATCATTTTGCTTTAATTCACATGTTAACCCAGCAACACGTCATCAAGGACACATTATGGACCTGCTCATCAGGCAGGCTGTGAATATTTCCAGCGTCTCTGTAACAGATGTGGCCCCGTCTGATTGTTTCACTGTTACCTTTGAAACCACAGATGTATATTATAGATCTGCAAGACGACTCTGTTGGGCCGAACGTCAACGGAGTGAAACTCAACGTCACGTTTATGGTGAAATCTCCAACGTCTGCACTAACATTGCAGGGAAACGCTCATAAAGCAGAACATGAACAATGATTGACTTCATTTGCTACAGCTGACAGACTCACAAACCACCTGAGCTGCAGCCAAACTGGGCCTGCACATTTCTTTAGAGAAAATCACCACAATTAGAGGATCAATCTGCACATCGTTTTCACCAGCACACCCAGCGGTACCAGAAGCTGGTCCAGTGATTGTGGTGCTACTGGCTCGGTTGGCCAGCAAACAGGCCTGACCAGAACCTCAGAGAGAACCTGTGGAGCCAAGAGGAAGATGAGAGGATTCATGCAGAAGGAGCCATTTTATGCGGCTCCACCTGTTTACTGCGCAGATTCAGCGCCGCTGCAGAGTTTCTGCAGCTTCTCCTTATCAATCAATCAATCAGATTAATTTTATAGCTCATTTCAGCAACAAGGCAGTTCAAAGTGCTTTACTTCATCAAAACACTGAAACCAACAACTGTTGATGTTATTGGCTCCTTAGCAGCAAGTAGACAATAAAATCACTAACTGCAGCAGCAGCTCTACGATCTGAGACCAGAAACAGTTTCCAGGTTTTTGATAGTAAAATTTAACATGTTTACCAGTCGATCGTTTTGAACTTGTACTCCAGTGAATATCAGTGTTTTGTGTGAAAGTGGAGTCCTACCTGAGCTGCAGAGACAGCAGCAGCATCAGAGCTGTTTGGTCCATGTTTCCTCTGAATGTGGAGCGAAGCTTCGTCTCTTGATGTGATCAGGATGAGGCTCCAGACTCTGAAGACTTCCTACTTTAAGCTGTTTTATCTGCTACTTCCTGAACGTCACAGTTCACGTCTTTGGCTGCTTTCAGAGAAAACGCCTCCTTCCTAGGAGCTCATGGTGAAGATGGGTTCATACTGGGCTCATACTGGGCCTACTGGGATTCAGGCTTTCACCAGTCTCTGTTGTTCCTGTGTTTAGTTCAGTGCTTGTTCTGCAAGTGGCGGAGTGGATCCAGGTGTGTTTCATCCACTGAAGGAACCTGATGTTGTTGGCAGCAGCAGCTCGCTTCCCTGCAGCAAGGAGTCACTGCTGAGCAGAACTGAGCCCAGGTGTTGCTGCTATGAAGAGAAGAAACAGAGAGAGAACATAAACCTGATGTCAGCAATAACTGCAGAAAACACAAGCAGGGTTTCCCCCAGGGTCTGATAAGCCTGGAGGCCCGCCAGGCTTTACTGGCTCCTCTGCCAGGCTAAGTGTTGCTTATTTATATTACCAGGAAAATAATAAATAAATAAAAACATACATTTCATTTTCTTTTTTTGAAAAAGCCGTATTACATCCCATTTTCTCTCTGTTGGTGGAACAGCGGTGACATCAGGGACTGAAGGCTGAGTTATAGTCGCTCTCAACTGTTGGGGTTGAGCGCGTGGAGCCAAGACAGCAGGATGGCGACTATTTAAGGTTTAGATTGTAGCCGCCTGGAAGAGCATCTTCCAGTCTGTGTGAACGTAATTCGGCGCGTTCGATACGCAACGAACATGCAGAGGTAAAGGAGGTTCTGCGACACGCTGCGCATGCGGCGCCTGCCTCTGTCTATGTTGTAAACTTATATTATCAAGGGCTTTATTATTTTGGGTATAAAGGGCCTTTAGCCCCGCCCCCTGGCCTTTACCCCGCCCCCCGGCCCAGTGCGCCGCCCAGCGACCAGTTCTCTCTCTGCACTGTAAAGTTTATGTCAGTTGGCCCCAGTTGGTCCCAGTTGGTTCCAATTGGTCCCATTGGTCCCAGATGGTCCCAGATGGTCCCAGTTGGCCCCAGTTGGTCCCAGTTGGTCCCAGTTGGCCCAGTTGGTCCCAGGTGGTCCCAGGTGGTCCCAGGTGGTCCCAGTTGGCCCCAGTTGGTCCCAGTTGGCCCCAGTTGGTCCCAGGTGGTCCCAGTTGGTCCCAGTTGGCCCCAGTTGGTCCCAGTTGGCCCCAGTTGGTCCCAGTTGGTCCCAGTTGGCCGGTGCGTTACTGGGTAAGCGGTTCAGCCCAGCATCACGCTGGTTTTAAATGATTTATTATTATTTTTCCTGTCACACGATGCATCAAACCAGGCCAAATGCTTTGTCCCCTCTGCCTGCAGCAGAGTTTGACTTTGGGGCCCCTCTTGCTGCTAGAAACATCAGCATCTCTAGATTGTTGACATGGGAAAAAAACAATCTAACTATGAATATTATTCTTTAAACTTTTGCACAGTAAACTTTAAAATCTTAAATTTAAAATCTTTTAATTTATGTTGAAACTATTAAATTTAGCAGCTTTGATTAATAAACAAATGTTACCTTTATGTGTTTGTGTTAAAATATTATTTTTCTGGGGCCACCGAAGCCCTGGGGGCCTTATGGAGCCGCAGGCTGACTGTGGATTAAACAGAAGAGCAAATAATTGATATTCATTTGAATCGTAGTTTTTGATTTGATGTTTTTAAGACTCTATAGTTGTGGGTTTAAATAGCATTTCACTGCCGATGTTTCCTGTAACATTTAATTACCTTGTAATATTTTTACTTTTCCTCTCTTTTAATACAAAAACACGGTTTCAGATTATAAATCTGGAATATTTGAATTATTGTTTTTTCTGTCTTTGATCATCAGAGCAGAAAGGCTTCATAGAGGCAGAGAGAGAAATCTAGACATTAATCTGGGTGTTCAGCCTCTGTGTGCTGCCGTGAGCTTGCTGAGTGATGCTAATCTGGATTGTAGCGTCAGCAACATTATCAGCTTTATTGCAACATAACCAGGTTTTTCAGGGTGAATCTAAACTTTAGATCTTCAGCTGGAAAAAGT